ATTATAAACAAATCGTTTGGTCTGAAGTAAATGGGAAAGAGGTGGCGAAGTCCAGAGGCGACTTACATTATGTAGTTTGAGTTATTTGTTTTGTGTTTTTTGCGGCAAAAGCGCGGCAATGGGGACAATGCGATAATCTAATCGCGACGCTATGGTGGCATTGCGGGAGAGAGGGGTGATCGGGGAGAGCAGAGCTCAGTAGAGAGATCGGGCAGTTGGTCAGTTCACCTCACGCACTGCGCCCTCGATCACCAGTGCTGCTCACCCGTGCTGCTCACCATGTCGCCCATCCTGCTCGCCGCGTTCCTCTGCGCGCTCGTCGCCTGCATCATCAAATTTGCGAGGAGCCGGCCGCCAATGTTCCCACCAGGTAGGTTTCAATTTGCAAAAAATCTGTGGCTCTCCGACCCAAGAAGCAACTACATTGAAACTGCAATTTCTGTCCTGTTTAAAAAGCGCTTCAAATACGTAGACGCGCCATGCTAATATGCACTTTTTTAGACGGGACATAAAATGCAGTTTTGATGCAGTTTGCTCGATTCTGATACCTGGGGAGCCTTGTCGCTGCGAGGGTGATTCTATTTTCAACTGTTTTGCTTCATAGGGCCACCACGACTACCCCTTTACGGTGGCTACTTACACTTGCTCGCGTACAACTACCGCTACACGTACAAGGGCCTGGTCGCCATGGCCGCCAGGTACAAGTCCCCCGTGCTGGGCCTGTACGTCGGCTCGGACCCGACCGTCATCGCCACGGACTTTGCGTCCACCAGGGAGATGCTGCTCAAGCCCGAGTTCCAGGGCCGGCCCGACACGTACGCCGCCCGCCTCCGGAGCTTCGACGAGCTGCTGGGTGCGGCCACTGCAGGATCATTGTGACGAAGAAGTGCTCACCGCTTCCGTCCATGTTGTCTTTTTGAAAAGCAAGATTTGGGTCGCAGGCATATTCTTCGTGGACGGCTCCTTCTGGGCCGAACAGCGCCGCTTCTCACTCCGCCACCTCCGCGACTTCGGCTTTGGCAGGCGCTTCCCCAGACTGGAGACGGCGGTCGGGGAGGAGATCCGCACCTTGTTCGAAGCCATCCAGCACCCAGTCGGGACGGAAAAGGTTACAGTTCAATCGCGAGCGATAGAGACCAACTCGTGTCCGACGGAATACCCCGGATTACCCCTCGATTACCCCTTGCTTCACCCCCAGATCATCCCTGGATTGAAATAGGTCGCCCCCCTTCCCCTCGATCGTGCATGAGTTCTAGGTACTTAGTGTTGCCTCCCCGTCTCACAGAGAATTCCATCATGATTCCATTGAATAATTGGTAATTCCCTTTTTCCCCTAATTCGAAGGAAATTTATGTTCACATGGACATATTTTTTTCGTTAATTTCAGGGAACCTTTCTTCATTTACCCTATCGTCATGTTCTTTATATGGTGCAAGATAACAAGCAGGCCCGCCCTTCCGCCAAACGAAGTTGCCAGCTCCGCTTCGCTCCGCCGGCAACTCCGTTCGGCAGGGGCCGGGCCTGCTTGGCCTGCCGGCGGCGATGGTCGGGCCTGCGGCCCGACCATTTCTGTCTCGCGATTTGCAGAAGAACATGATCGAATGATGTAGCGGGCCTTATTCGGCCCG